CTGTACCTGTGACTTTGTAGCTTCAGCACAGATAAAGCAGATGAAGAAACAACTTATCAAGTAGTTAACTGTTTTGCCTTTTAGAGAGATGTTTCTGAATAACTTCAAAGATTATGGCAGGGACTAAAAAGGGAGTAAAGCAGAAGTAAAGCATGTTCTCTTCTGAGAAATAAAAGAATTGCACTCTTGTTTATAAATAGTATTAATGCTGAGTTAAATTTCAGCTTAAAACTACTTTGAGCCCAGTTTTGTAGTCCCTGATCATAAATAAATAAATAAATAAATAAATCTGCTGGACATTTGCACAGTTTGTTCTCTAGGAAGATGAGTAAACAAGTAATGAATTTATTTTCAGACATAGAAACCTGAATTGTGAGGACCGCTTTAAAGGTGATCAGGGTAAATACAGCTGTGGTTAATTCTTAGTAATATCTTGATAAAGCACATGACTCAGAGGAAATGAAAATTCCATTTCCACTGACTCAAGGGACATTGGGCAATTAATTTACTCCTTGTGTGCCTTGATTTTCCTACCTTTAAAAGAGGGTTAAAGTGAGGTGTGTGTTTCAGGATGTGATGGTAGAGACAGGAAATGCAGCATGAATGAAGGGAGGCAGGAGTTGTGAGCCTGATTTACTGTCTGTAAAATACCTTGAGGCTTTCACAGGGAAGAAACTTCACCAATACCGACTTCCAGCACTGCTGTTGAAGGAAATCTTAATAAACATTTTATTTAGAATAGGGACTGAAAATTTTAATTGCTTGATATGTAGTCTCTTACTGATCAACTAAAGATAAGGTCTTACTGTGTCATATGAGAAGACATTTTGCATACAAATTCAGGTTCTGACTTGACAGCAGAAAAATCTGGTGGAAATAAAACTCTTCGAGTAGAGTTGTGTTGTCTGTTTGACAGGACCTTTCCAGTGTTATCCCAGCTTCAAAACAAAAGCTGCTCTTCGGAGAGAGCAAAAATTTTTCCTGCCTGTCAACCATTTCATCAGATAACACTGACTTCAGTTAAAAAGACCGGCAGGTTACCCCATTTCTTTAGCAGGGAAAATAATAACGGAAATGCAGCCTTTTTCTGTTGGTGGTGGTAGTGGTGGTCTTGTCCAGTTCTTCCAAAAATGGTAAAGTTACGTTGTTTCTTGAGGTGGGGGAGGTTTCATCTGTCGCATATCTTCTCAGTGGGAAAAAATGAGTGGAGGCTGTAGTTCTTGGTCTTGGAGCATCGCTACTGATTCACTAAACTCCCCCCAAATGTGACTGTATTAATATAAGGATTTAGTTCTCTCTGAATGAACTCTAAAACTCCAGAAAGAATTGGTAATTTGCATATGTCTTGATCTGAACATTGGGATATGGATTTGGCATAACAGGCTTGCTAAACATTTGGGAAGGACGGGGGGGTATGTGTATGACTTAATTACTTTGTCCTGGCAGGAGCAAAAGAGAGCTTTTGTGTATCCGTCCACATGAGATCTGCCTTCTGAGTGCAGCCCCTAAAAAATTAAAGATACTCGGTACTTCACAAAGATCTGTTTCAACCATTTCGTATGTGTTTTTTTCTTCCTCAAGTTGAGGAAGGGGCCCTGAAAATAAAGTATGATTTGATTTCAGATTTTAATTTTTTATTCATGCTTTGCATTTGAATATCCCAGGGACACATCTGCTGCTGTCCTAGGGATTCTGCTTCTCAAGTTTTGCTGACTACGAATGACCTAAAATATCTTTTACTTCTTTTCTTTTTTTTAATATGCATCCGAGCAGTGCCCTTTTTTTTTTTTAATAACACAGGCAAAAGTGCCTTATACTTAGTGCCTATACTAAGTGTTTTGCAGAGCAATAACTGCTCTGCAGAGCAATTATTTGCAGAGCAATAACTGCTCCTGCTATTTAGTCGAGTGCAGAATCTGGCCCTAAGTGAGAACTGGCAGTGATGCTGAATGAATGGTTTGCTTTCTGCAAAACAGCTTTCTCGTACAATCTCTGGGAAAATTTTACAGAAGAAGATAACTGACGTGTAAGTTGGTGCAAGACTTGTTCTCAATATAAAATTTGGTTTTGTGGTTTGACAGTTTTATTTGAATTATTTCACCAACGTGACTTTTCTTTCTCCCTGTGAAATTCATTGTTGACATAGGTAGGCATATTTCCGATAGACTTAGAACAATATATAACAGCAGGGAATTCAGCAGGCAAAGTAGTACTTAAATGGCCTAACTTCTGTTTTGGGTAGAGCATACCTAAAAATAAAAATTAATTCTAGTGTATTTGTATTTATTTTCAATTTGCCTTTATTCTCATTTAATTTGATTATTAGTTTCATTAACTTGAAAAATCATATACTTAAAAAGATTTCAGTCTTGACTGATGATGACTTAGAAGTCTCTGAAGAGAGCGTATTGATCTTTTCTGAACTCTCATTCCTCCCGCTATTGCACCTTATTTTTGATGCATCAATCTAGACGGCGTTTCTACTATTCTTTCTCCTTTCAAACAGCCCATGTAATTTTGCAGTTGATCAACTGAAAGAATGAACTCCTTTCTGTACGTTTGTGCAAAAAGTAATACTGCTTTTTAATATGTCTCTAGGCCTTTCTAAAGTTGCCAGAGCAGATTTTTTGAAGAGGGTTATGCACAGGAGGAAATCTTCCTTCAACATTTTGCTTTGCTCCCTTTGCTCCCTTTTCCCTAAAATGCGTCTGGAAGGTTTTTTGGTATCTCTCAGACAGTGAGAGACTGTCTTCCTGAACTAGTATTGTTACGAGTATAAGATGTTACTGAATGTTGGGACTTGTTTTGGGGGGGAGAAGAAATGTTTATTCCATTGGAACTTGTTTTACCTGGCATGAATGTTGCTGTTGGAATTCATCTCAAGTACAGTACTGCTTCTCCTATGTGGCTGATGTTTTTCAAGGAAATCATGGGCCTAAAAATAGTCTGCATAAACAACAGTAAGAGGTTTGTACTTTCAGTTCCAGGTTTTAGCAATATCTTGTTGTTATTTTCTAATTGTCAGTTTCCAAAATCCATTAAGCTGATTAGCAGAAGTATTTAAAAACACAACAAAAAACAGGACCAAAAATCCACCTCTTACGGAGCCTTGCATAAAATGTTGTGCTTAGATAAATGCAGTACAGAAAGGCTGGGACATTGTAGTAATCACCTTTAGATCTTTATGAACAGGTTATGTTCTGAACATTTTTCAAGCATCCTCCAACTTGTGAAACGTATGTTATCGCCACATGATTCTGAAACTGTGGTTTTAAGAGAGAATACTTTTATAACAGTGTGGAAAAAAATGTACTAGTTGCAATTCATGGTTATCATACACATTTAATATCCTCTGTGTACTGAACAGAAAGCTTTACTTTTTTTCCTTCGGAATTTAAAGAAATGATGTATTACTTAACAGCCTGGAAGAGATGATGACAACAATCCAGTATGCTAACTGCAGAACAAACTCTGCCATCAATTTGTCTTTGTATATCTGCCTCCGGGTCACCTTTCGTGACGGAAATTGATCTTGAGGCTTTGTTGCATGTTTATAATAGCGCGTTTATTGAGATGTTAATGAATTAGAAATTCTGCAAGTCTGAGACTGAAAAAAATACTTTTTGTTTGTCTGTGAAACAAGATGATCATCTGCTTCCTAATGAAAACTACTTTACTCTGAAGCCACTGTAAAAATATACCATTATTTTTCCTTCTTCGCCTGCTCTTCGCTAGAGGTTTTAGAAAGTCTGTTGGGAGGCAGGAGCCGAAACGGAGGGCCAAGGCCTCTTGATTTCAGTGGGATCTGGGCCTTTGAGTTGTGACTCTGGGCCGTGGCTGCCTTTCCCCCTCAGCCCCCTGAACTGTTGCCGAAGTCCGTAGTTAACGCACTTTCAGGAGCAAACCTATCCGTGCATGGGGATGGGAAGGGAAAATTCATCTTTTCTTTGTGATTTGGGCTTTATGAAGAAGAGAATTCAGGCAAAGGAATTTAAAAGGAAACTTAAAGTATATTGGTGTTAGGACTGTGATTAATCATTAATGTTACCAGTAAAGCTGACTGCAGAAGCGTTGCCAGGTCTCCTAATAACACTGAAATGGAAGGTGTCTGAGTGCTGCGTAACCCTGCTGCGTGCTCGGTAGCGAACAATACGACTGGGGGGCTCATCGCATAAAATCTGGATTCTGGAACTGTTGTTTCGCCGTGTCTTTGAATTTCATTGCAGCGCCATAAGAGAGCAGAGTTAGCACGTAGGTTCCGTGGGTTTTTTGTTCTACAAGTTAAAAATTAAAGATAATCGGAAGGTTACAATTAATTACTAAAAGCTTTTTAAAGATCCCAAGATACTGTCCTTGGCTATGCTAATCAATTTGAGTAAAATAAATCTTTTTTAACCTATATTTAATCCACTACTGCTACTCCTCCAGAAAGTGAACGGAAAAACCGGCATCGACAGCTGCCAGATAAATCAGTGCTCCTTCTCACTTAACTAAACCGACGGTGAAATCGATGCAGGGGTCTCATCTATTAAAAGAACTGTAGCGAAGATGATAAATTTAAAAAAAAAAAGTTCATATTTCTTTCAGGAAAATTACACGTAGGCAATTTATTTGAGTCATTGTTTTGCTGGAAGCAGTAGCAGATTATGTTCTGCAATTTATATGAAACTATTATCCAAGTTCAACTCCTTGTATGTCTCTTAACGGGCTGGGGGGTGTTGTAATGAGATTAGCAGGCTTGATAAATAAAACTGTGAATTTGGCCCTCTGCTGGATGGTGCTAGGAAATGCCAGGAATGCATGTTTTAAATACTAGAGCACGTATGTTAAATAACTTAAGTATATTTAGTTAGCATTTTGTGAGGCTGAATGTATTACAATTTCCCAACCGCTGTCTGGGAACTTGTCAGTTACTGAACTAAACTAGTCAGTTAATAAAACTTTAGATAGATTGTCTAATTTGAAAATGAAAAAGTTGCTTTTTTCTTTCCTCTCCCCAGTTTCCTAGACAAGATTGACATAGTCAAACAAAATGAGTATACACCGTCTGACCAGGTAAGTGAAGTTTCATTAAGGAATTACACAACTTACCTGCGCCCTTTGTCTTAATTTTCCAATTGCCATTTGTGGCTCTAGTCTAGGTATTATCATGTACTGTACATATTTAGTAGTCCAGTAAAAATTAACTTTTACTTGTATAAGCATGATCTCAACCCAAGTAACAATGTACTGTGAAATAAAAATCTGTCCAGATTTAAGACTTAAGTCATATTTCTGCAACAAAAAATATCAAAATACTAATTTGAGTGAGTAATTTCTAAAGTTTTGCCCTGCTCGCTAACTAACTATCATTAATTTCCTTTGATGCAAAGTTGGTTGGTATTTTCTGAGCCCCACGGCTCCCACTGTAAGCCAGATTTCTACAAAGGCAGCAAGGTACATTATTCACAATTAAAAATACCTGTACATCCCTTTTCATGTATGCTTTCTGATAGATGAAAGGACTACCAAAATAAATAGCAGTAAACTTTACCAGGTCCAAGTCTGTCAACACATCTTTTTCTGCAGGAGAGGTTCTTCTCAAGAATGGTGAATCTTGCAATTAAAGGCAATTGTCATTAAGATTAACTTAAGCTTTCTTTACAAATGACACTCATTTTCCGGTCAGGATCAGTGTATTCACGGTTGTAACTAAATACTATGTGTTCAAAACACACAGATCTGGCCTTGTGGGTGGATTGCAGACTCGAGTTACGGCTCAAGGAGTAGAAATGTCCATCTTCGATCTACAGTGAAAAGGGCAAGCCCAGTTTGCAAGATTCTGTTTACCTTCAGGGGAGAAGAGCTTCTCAAGTTACTAAATAACATACATAAAAATAGGCTTTTTCTGAACGCTGGTGATAGTGATCTGAATGTTAATTCTTCCTTCATGTTATCTAACCCTCATTTGCAGAAAGCAAAGCATTGGGCATATTCTTGCCCTTGTGGAGCTTTGCAAATTTCATCTGACAGTTAAGTGACTCTGCAAGGTTTAGCAAAAGAGGGATATTTTAAAGATGACCTTGTCAGATTTTTTTTTTTATCAGAATAGTAGTAGGAATTGTAGTCTTCATTTTGTTACAGGTAATCTGAAGATTTTCTTTAAATCCAAATTGCTAATCTAAAATCACGCATGCATTCATAACTTTCTGCCATAAACAATGCATGTGGCATTCTTCTGTAGAATAAATAACCAAAAAAAAATTAACTTCCCAACCAAAAGTTTTCACTGGCAATATTATTGAGAACAGTTTATATCCTTTTGGTGAAGTCATTTGAGACTAAATTAAACATTCATCCTTCTAATACCTGATTTTCTTATAAATGAAACTTTTTCTTATCACTGAAATCATTCTATTTTCAAGAAGCAAAAAGATATAAATATAGGTTATTGCATTAGAAACTGGGAGGAATTAAGCTGCAAATGTGATACTGTAAAGTGTCTCAGTTTTATATTAGAGGCTAGGGCTGTCAAGAGTTTAACTTGTAATTACTTATGAGCAGGTTTAGGACCATTGACTGTGTTCAGGCGCCACACAGGCATATTGCAAAACTGAGGCCCATGTGTGTCATCCTCCGGGATGTTTTATGTTTGTCCTAAGAAACAATGAGAGTAATAATTGAATTGTTTCCCTTCAATTTTTTTTTTTCTTGAGGTAGGTGAGCGCTTTTCTTTATCGTTGTACTTGCATTGATTTCTAGAGATGCAGAGCTCCAGAGAATCCAGTTTTCCAAATTTAGTTCTGCTTATTGGGGCATTTGAATTTTAAAACTATATCAGACAAGCTGATCAAGTTAGAACAATGTTTTATCTGTATTTCAGTATAAGAGGATTAAAATAGCCAGACGACAATAATTTACTATCAGAAAAGTGATGTTAAAATGTAGCCATTTTGTTTAATGATTTAACAGCGTTGTATAACCTTTGGATTTTGTGCGGTTTTGACTTTGACTAACCAGTTTGGTACTATGTAGTAAGAACAGAGCTTTTATTGTGCATATAAATTTTTTTACAGCCTACTCCACTTACATGGTCTTGTCTCTGTGCTGCAAATACTACAATTTAGCTGCTGTTTATATCCATTGTGAGCAACACCAAAACTTTAAGTCCTAAATTATAAAATCTTTAGTTGATTTCAAAGAGGTATTTTGTAGTAAGTTATACTTGGAATGGGAAGCCTGCACAAATTAGGTTCTTTTATATTAATTACAAGGTAGGCATTCAATATGGCTGTCACTGCTGTATAGCACACAGTAAATAAAAGCCACAGCAGTTGGATTTTGATAGGATTTTGTAACAAATTTGTAACTATTTCAGTTGTGTGCAGTTCTGAAGCTCTGATGATAATTTTTCCTTCTACAGGAAATTTCAAACTTAACCTTTGAAACTTAACCCATTTCTTGCAAGATTTAAATGACTGAGCTCCCAGCTCTTTCAAGGAAAAAAAGGAAAATTCTGAGATCCAGCTACTACTTTTAATAGCCAAGCACTGAACAGCTGGAGGAGAAATCTGTCTTCTGGGGTTGGGAATTGGCTGGTATTTAAAGATCCAGTGGTGCACTGTAGTCCCAGTGAAATCTGTGGTCGCATTGTCTAATCTCCTGTGGTCATCCTGAGCCATTCTGAACTTCTGCATAAGTGGCCTTCAGATGGTCCCTTCTCTTTCAGTCTTGGCTCTCAACAACCTGCTTATAAAAATGATTGTGCTTTTAAGTGGAGCACACTTATATTTATGCACACATTTTCAGGATCAGAGCCTTAAATGCAGCTTCATAATGCGGTACTCCCTGTTTCTGCAGTACAGCGTACTCTGTCAGCACTGGGTAAAAGGTTTTTCTTTCTGTTGCTGGATATATGAAGAATTCCCATAGTACCTGTATTGCATCCAATGACTTTTCCTTTATGCTCTAGGATCTTCTCAGATGCAGAGTTTTGACATCAGGAATTTTTGAAACCAAGTTTCAGGTGGACAAAGTAAATTTTCAGTAAGTATCCTCGTTTTCCTACATATATACACATACACATATATGTATACATATGTCTGTATGTATGAATATATAATGCAGAAAAATGCCTGGGCAAAATAAATTCAGCAAGCTGGAGGAAGGACTACCCTATAATCCTTGAAACTACTTTAGTATTTCTTAAATTGAAGTTTAGTAGAACATAAGTATTTTCTGAGTTTTCAATTTAGTAGGTTTGCTCTAAAAAAATGCAAATTGACCTACATTTCTTATAGTTTTCATTTGAATGGCAAAAAAACAAATTATTTTTAATCTGGTTCTGCTAATGCATTTTGTGAGTATTTGATTCATTGCTATTTTGTATAGTGAAATATTTGACCAAAACCTTTTTACATATCAGAGGAACAGATGCATGCTCTCTCTAGTGTCCCATTTTAGAAAGACTGTTTGACCTGACTAAACATTGCTGAATTTTAGTCTGATCTTATTGACTTTAGTTCTGTGGTATCTTTTTCAGTAAATGACTTGTTGCAGGACCTTTTCAATGTCTTCCAAGATTGTAAAGGCAGAAATGACTCTATAGCATACGTACACCAGAATTTCTTACTCTTCTATTTTTTCTAGCTTCTAGGACAAAGAAGTCCTAAAACTTCTGACATGTTCTGTTTGCGTTTGCAAAAAGAAAAGGGCATAAAATGCACTCTGACTCAGATTTGTGGGTTTTTTTTCTTAGTATGTTTGATGTTGGAGGGCAACGAGATGAACGCCGAAAATGGATCCAGTGTTTTAATGGTAAGATTAGGATTTATGTTTGTTTCTGCATAGTTCTCTGCAAAATTTTAATTCCCATTCTTCATTCTCTCACCATGTAAGAGTGAGTTCTTTTTCCATGTAGCTTGAGGGATTCTCTGAGCAGTCATCCTGGCTGGAATCTTTCTTGTCACGTAAACTTCTGTAACTGCATAGAATATCCTTAAGGAGATTGTAGGTGGAAAGGAAATCAGGTTTGATAATTTAACATAGTTTGTCCATCTGCTTACACTTCCCTTCCTTCATTTAATTAGATTTTTTTGTTTGTGTGTGTGTTTGTGCCTTATTTGCCAACTATATGAGTGTTAATTTCCAAGTTAGGTTTTCTCTTCCAGATGAAGATATACATGTATTTACATGTATTTGTGCATATGTAATATATATAATTACAGTATAACTAGTATAAGTGTAAAATCAGAATGTCATATTATTGTGTGTAATTGCAGCCACGTTGCTGTCTCATGGGTACTTCTTTCCAAATCAGCGCCAACCTATTAATCTAATTCCTGCGAGATGGTAGGAAACATTTGTCTTTTTAGATAAAGCTTGGTATATAGTATATAATACGCTACAGCATCGTATAGTATAACCCCAAAATGCTCTTGTCGTAAGATTTTACACTGAAATTTATAAATCTGCACCTTTTTAGAGAGTCATGCATATTTATATCATTTCTTGAGAAACAGCATTAAGGGGAAGGTCCTTCCTGAAAACATATAAACATACAAATACACTAAATATCTGTATGGAAGCTAGTTTCCTTAGAATGCTAACAGAGCACCAAACTAAACGTGGGTAAGACTGAAAGGTTGGAATGCGTTTTGTAAGATACGGAATGTTAACACTGATGTTCTAGTCAAAGTTTAGTTTAGTTAGATGATTATATTCTTAACTCCCCAGGTGATTTAAACTAGGTAGTTTTGTTTGTATCCTGAAAAGTTGCGTGTACCTTCCCTAGAGCTGTATATTTTACTCTGTAACTCTGCTAGGTGGGGCATGAAATCTTTCTCCACACCAGTTTTCATAAAGCTAGAGATAATGAGTATTTTTTTTCTTTTTTTGGGGGGGGGAGGGGAGAGGGGTCCAAAATATTTCTGAAATTATGCAAAATTCTACCTTTTTGTAGACAATTTATAATGAGATCCTATAGAAAAGCTAGAACTCGACTTGAATTGTATCTTATTTCGCTACAGTTGCTGCTGTAGAGCATCCTCTGAGCACTTCAGATACATGTGGGACTACTATGCAATACTTTCTTCCTTTCTTCTACCCTACTAATAACAGATTAGTTTGGTTTTTACTTCTGCTCCCTCCTCTTCCTGTTACCTCATGATCTGACTCATTTTTCCTGCTGTTGATGCCTGAGGCAGATGAGTTTAGAAGTGAGTATGAGGGGTCTGGAGCAGCAGAGCCACCCAGAATCACAGCATCCTGGAGCCTGTGATCCTGTGAATGTCTCCCTGGAAAGACAGGGGCCTCTGAGAAGTATAGCACACGCTAGGAGGAACAGGGCAATTAAACATGAATTCACAGTGATTTACTCTTTTTATTATTACTATTGACATGGGTCAAAAGTGCCGTTGTCCTAGAGACCCTCACCATAGACACCTAGACTTCTTTATGCTTCTAAAATCTTCTTAATTTTTTTCTATTTCTTTTCTTATTTTCTCTCTCTGCCTTCTGTTCCTTTCCTTTCCATAGCTACTTTCATTGTATCAGCTCCTGTTCTCTGGCCTACCTCTTTTCTATCTTTAGCAGTTTCTTCACTTTACTTCTCTATTTCTGGTACTTAGAAAGCAGTAAGCAATAGCATTCCAGACTGTTCTCATAATGCAGCTGAAAGTTTGGCTGCTTTTTGTTGAACTCCAGGATTCTTGGATATTTCTTCTGAAATTTAGTACTAACTGATGGGTATTTCCTAATTTAGATGTGACTGCTATCATATTTGTGGTGGCCAGCAGTAGCTACAACATGGTCATAAGAGAGGATAATCAGACCAATCGGCTTCAAGAAGCACTAAACCTCTTCAAGAGTATCTGGAACAACAGGTCTGTGAATTGAAGTTTCATTGTTCCTACCTAAATTAGCAATCCTTTCTTGCATTATAGTAAAGCCTTGTTACAGAGTAGCCTATTTTGTTTGCTTCTCACGGCACAGCCAAAAATAGTGTTTGTTCACAATTGCCTACCTGTTACATTAGCATACAATAAATTCATCTGATTGAAACAATTCTGGAGAGTTACATATTGGTAACTGTGATATCTGGGATGAGGTAATTAAGGCAGTGATACAGTGGTAAATAAAGCAGTGGGTAAGCTCACCTATTTGATGTATTTGGATGAACAGTAGAAAGTGGGTAAATTTCATTCCTCAAATTAGAAACGCGCAAAAAGAATTCAGGACATGTACGCCTTGATTTATGCCGCTGGATTCAAGTACGAAAGGAACTGGTCAAAATTGTTATCGTGTGTCATATGAATATGCCGTTTCCAGTAGTGGATTATGTTTCTTTTTACTACTTAATCCTAGCTATGGCTTCTCACAGTGTTTGGCTTCAATTTTCTATAGGTGGCTACGGACCATTTCAGTAATCCTTTTCCTGAATAAACAAGATTTGCTAGCAGAGAAAGTTTTGGCAGGGAAATCTAAAATTGAAGACTACTTTCCAGAATTTGCTCGCTACACTACACCAGATGATGGTAAGGTGTTTGTTTGTTTGTTTGTTTTTAAGTTTTATCAGCAATGTATCATTTCCTTGTTAATCACGTTTGTAATGTTTTTGGTAATTTCAGCTAAGATTTGAAAACTCTTGAGTAGAAATAGTTTTAAGTGCCTTTCAGCAAAACTGTAATGTTAGATATTATGTATTAATAATGAGAAGATTCTGTCTTTTGTACATTTAATATATTAATAGTTTCGTCATGCCAAGCTCCTATTACTGCGCTGGTAGACCACATACAGCTCATACAAATACTATTGCAGAGATGCAGCAGTGATCTTTGAGACATGAGATTCAAGGTCGGCTCTGTTGGTATATGTCACAGGTGCTTGCAACAAGTCAACAAAGTGATCCTTTTTTTAAACAGGAGGTCTGTAATGAAGTGTCTACCTCACAGAACTGTGCAAATACATACAGTTATAAATGAATGGCTCAGCAGTAAATATAATAAGTATATCCTTTTATCATGATAGTTTAACCTCACTAGTACTGTTCCCAAGTAATCACAGTGCGAGGCCCAGTAGTCACAAAGATGTCCTCTGGTCTCCCCTGTAGATGGCCATATTTGTAGACATTTTTCTAATCTCCCAAAGGTCTGGTGTTACGGACGCTGTAATATTATTTTGTTTTCCTGAAACCTTGTGGTTTTAAGTAATATGTTATGGTTTTGCTGTGTCTCATAGTCAGTGTTGCAAAGTATGTTTCTATCACATGTGAGCGGAAAACAGAACAAGTTAGGATTTTTAGGAGCTATCACCATGAAACATCTGTTTTAATGAGATACTCTTTTATTATTAATCAGCAACACCAGAGCCTGGTGAGGATCCCAGAGTTACAAGGGCCAAGTATTTTATTAGAGACGAGTTTCTTGTAAGTATTCCCTTTCCTTCAGTATTTCGTATGTCAGTTTTCTCAAACATAACCTTAAGCACCTTCTAATATATCAAAACTGCTGTCACGTCTTAGGTTGCTTACATTTAACGTCTACACTGCATAAAACACTAAGTTAGGTTTAAAAGCTTTGCAGCTGTTTGTTACCTGTTCTTCATATATTTGTCTGTTGACAAAGTACATGAGTTATTTAACCAAAGAATTGGTGAAATCCTGCTGTTTTTAATGGGGCCAGATTTTATTCCATACATCAGTTTTAAAGATAAAGATTAACCAAAAGATACGTCATCTGCAAAATATTAATGTTCTGTTCATACTGTCTTTCCCAATGCTGGTCAGCTGAAGCTATAATAGATATAAGTCGTTTTAAATATTATTACAACTATTTGTAATACTGTAACAATCAAATTGGAGACTGGTTTAAATTGGAACAAAATACAGTTTTGAGGGAGGCATTGTGTAAGTATAAAGCAGGCCTAAAAAGCTTGTATAATGAAGCAAAGTCCCACTCTCTGTGTGGATAAATGGACTACCAGTTATGTGGCTAAATTCCCCAAACCTGCATGTAAATAATAGCACTTCCATGATTCTCTTTCAGCTCTGAAATTCCCCCGTACTCAGTGACCTCCTCACCATCTAATTCTGTTCTTTTTACATTTAATGATTTAGGTGAGAGACTGTTAGAAGTCGTGGGCATTTCTGGCACTTGTTTGCCCCCTTTGAAAAGACAACTCACACATATGTATCTTAATCATCGTTCATCTGAAGTTTGAGACTGTTTCCTCCCCCCTCCCCCAGTCAGTTTTATTTTAACACAGTATCTATTACTTTTAACAGAGAATCAGCACAGCAAGTGGAGATGGAAGGCACTATTGCTATCCTCACTTCACATGTGCAGTGGATACAGAGAACATCCGGAGGGTTTTCAATGACTGTCGGGACATTATTCAGCGCATGCACCTTCGCCAATACGAGTTGTTGTGATGGAGAGCACTTTTTTCTGTGTTTTGGACTCCTTATTCCTTATTAAAAAGAAAAAAAAACACCCTTGCCCACATAGGGTGGAAGAGAACTGTTTGAATCTCCCATTGATTTGCACCCCTCAACTTTTTCTCCTTGCTGGACAATAGCAGCACTTCTAAGCTTGCTTCTGTACCCCTCGGACAGTTTGAGATGGCCCCTAACACTTACAGGCCGTTTCCATGAGGATTCCCTAACACTGTTATTAACAAAAAAAAGAAAAAAAGAAATAAAAACTAATTAATTAAAAGCCCTGAATGTGGAGCACCTGAAAGAATTGGGGATAAAAATTTAAAACATACAAAAAAAATTGGGGAGAGAAAACTTTAGGTAATTTAGCACTGTTGTGGGCATAATCATATAACTCGTGATCTCCACTTTGTTATCATTCACTGCATCAGACAAAAGAAGGTGCCAAGTCACAGACCAAGTTTGAAGACAGACACTTGAGTTTTGGTTCTCTGACTGTAATGTGGCTTTGAACGGAAATACTGACAATTCTGCAACAGACCTAGACAGTGCAAAAACCAACTGCTACCTTTCAGAAGGGTATTTTTAAATCCAGTCTTGGTGGTCTTAAGACAACCATGGACATTTATGAATTGAACTGCGTATAGCCTGTGATTGCAGAAAGAGTTAACCACACACTGTTTTCAGTTTGTCCACTGATGATCCCGTCTGCTATAAAAATCATTATCTGGACTGTAGTCCTCACAGTCTTTCCCTTCTTTTTCTTCTTCCCTCCCCTCATTTTTTATTTTACTGCTGGATTATTATTCTTGTACAGACTGTAAAATGTATTATTTTGTACAACTTTATTGAAAAAAATAACTTGTAGAAGATCTTTGTGCCTTGATTATGGCTGTACCTGTACAATGAGCTAAGATGTAAGTATGTTTGATTGCGCTGTACAGCTTTGTCAACCCTATCGGCAGCACTAGCTCAAGGTAGGGAAAATTTATCTGTAGTTTAGTTTTTCTGGTTTATAAAAGAAGGAAAAATACTGTTTAGTAAAAAAAAAAAAAAAAGAAAAAAAAGAAAAAAAAGTACAAATTGTGCAAACTTAACCACTTTAAAAGTGAGGTCTTCAACAAGTGACCAGATGTTGCAGCATCATGCTTTTTAATTTTTAGCTTTAATTCATTTAAATCTCTATCCAAATGCAAAACATGGCTTGTTTCTACATAAACCAAATTTTGCTACAAATTATAAATGTTAGTCTTTGGTCATTCATAGTCCTTTTTGCTAAAGACAAACAGAACAATAACAGACACGTAGGGCGTCATGCAGGTCTGGTGACCATCTCTAGACTGGGCCAAATACCCCACCAACCTCCACTTATACGCGTGGGCATAATACTACCAGAATGACAAGGTGTGCACTGCCCTTGGATTTGGCCACTGAATTCCAGTTTCAAATGACATTTTTATTTCTCTTTTAATAAAGAGATACTTTAGAACCTTTTTGTTTTATATTAACTATATAAGTAGCTTAAAGTGAAGATGTGTGGATTTTTCTTAAACTTGAATAATTTATGCAAATTATATGCTTAGAACAACATGTGGTACAGTAAAAAGAAAAAGAGCAAAAATCACTGTAGCAATAAGAGAGCATGTAATTTTAGTAACTACTACACTGCTTTATATTTTATACCTAGGTGTTTTATGTCTCTGTGAGTGTGTTACTTTTTCATGTGTCTAAACCTACATGTACAATTTGTACAGAGTCAGAAATTACAGCTGTAATAACACATCTAGAACAGTGTTAGCCTATATTACTCAAACACTTGTTTCCCCCTCCATTTACACCCCTAAACTGATCTGGATCTTAATGCAGTGACTTTAAAAGGAAAACAAAAAAAAAAAAAACCCAAAATACTTGCCTCTTTTCCTTTCACGCTAGCTTCCCTCCACCCAAGATACCGTGTTAAGTTTCTTTTTTGGGAAGAGGTCCAGTTTAAATTAAAATTAGGGTGCGGTCAGTAATGTCTGTGCAGCTAGATTTGCTTCAGGTATCAGATGCCTTTTTAATACTAAGAACTGCAACTGTTCAGAATTGTGAAGTTTTCATTGCTTTTGTGGCTAAACTTTTAAATTAAAATTAATCACCTAGTAGTCCATTTTCACATATGTAAAGAGTAAGGACTTGATGGAGTTAATGTCCCAATCTCTCTTGATTCAAAAGTACTAGTGCTTTTTCAGAAGACATTAAATCGTCTAAAAATTATAGCTGCGGTTGCTGCTCAGTTTTAAAAAACAAACTATCTTTCCTGTTCACAGGTTTGGAAAGTTGCCCTCTGAACCTCATAGAACGGTAGGAGAACATGACCCAAAATAGCCCTCTACGATTTAAGAATGTATCCAGTGCCTGTAGGTTAAGGGCTGGTGTTTTCAATAGGTAAAATTGGGACACAAATAGTGGAAATGAAATGTATTGTGAGCCTTAATTTTAGTTACAGGAGCCAAAATCTTTAATTTAGTGCCAACCCTTATCTTTTTAAGCCTAGGGGGGAGTTGGTGTGAACACCAAAATTATAAATGGGGAAAACCTGTAGTGGTGAAAGGAATGTAATCTCTCATCTGAGAGAAACAAAGCACCTCCATTAAAAATAATGAATAAAATAACAAGTTCAGCTTCTTCCTGGGATAATGAGAAGGATACATAATAACAATGAGTTAAATAAGACAATAACATTTTAGGAAACCTTTCTATAAAGCTTTATATGAACATAAATGTTTGGGGGATGCTTTTCTTTTTTTTAAGTGAGGAGAAAGGCAATGTATTGACTATGGTTGAGTTGCACAAGTACGGAGCGTGTGTGTGTGTGTGTGTGTGTGTGTGTGTGTGTGTGTCTTAATGTCTCAGTATTGCCTTTGTTAGTCTCTTTATTAGTCCATGCAGTTTGGTGGCCTGGTAAATGCAAGTCTTATTTTTAACAGCTTTCTTTTTTTTAAATACAAAAACATAAAGCTTTAATGCTTGCTATTTAATAAGTAACTGTGTTTTCTTCTGTCTCTAATTTAGTGGCCATAATTTGCAGTTAATTGAACCATTCCAACCTAATGCTTACCCATATTTTCCTAGTTTTGTTTTATTTATTTATTTGAACTTCTTGTTTTCATGATTGAGGACTTTCACTTCTGTCTCATTCATCTGTTTGGAAACTTCTGACCTTACAGCCAAAACTTTACTCATTCTATTCAGTATTCATCATGATGCTGAAGTGTAAGATACTTGCAAATGTAAACACTACCACTTTTATTAATAAAAACAAATACAGTGTTTTAGGGCACATTTGCATCACTATAGTTGAGGTTGTGTCAGTATTTCCATTATAAACCCATAGAGGGCCTATATCTTGGCACTAAATTACCCTAAGCTAAATCTTTGCCATACAAGGCTTGTGCTCAAGCATGATTTGGTGGGTTGGTTTTTAAACACTTTCCAACACAAACTCTTGTTTCTGGTTTAAGTTATACAACTGTTTTGTTGGATGGGGGTTGGTTTAAAGAAAAATACTGGTTCAAGATTGTTTTTGGCACTTCTGTAACTCAGAAATGGTTTTGATTTAAAAACATAACCTTTGGCAAGCCAGTAACCTACAATATGGTCTGATCACTTTGGGTATTTTGTAAAAATAATAATAAATTGTAGAGATGTTGTGGTTTCAAAATCAGCTACTGTGCATTTGCAGTAACTTATTTCAACCCAAGGACTTTTAGCAATCTGTACATCAGTGCACATATCCCTAATCTGACTCAGCAGCCAGTGTAATGCATATCTCCTGAAGGTTTTTTTTTTTTTTTATATAAAAGTGTGGGGAGGTAAATTAACTACAGACTGAAAAAGGTTCAGCTGCTTCTGAACGCATGAAAACTGCTCTCTTAAAAGAGAAGCTGCAACTTGGAGGTCTATATAAGTAAGTTGTTAGGAGTAGGCTTTGATGTAAAGCATATGAAGGCATGCTGGATCAGGTGTCATAAGTAGGAGCCCACAAGCTTACCGTCATTTATCTAAAATCTCTTCTGAATCATTGGCATTGAGGATAAGATTTAACCCCGGGTATGTGATGGGGAATTAGTTTGAGGAACTGGAGCTAATTCTGCTCCAGTATGTTGCACATAATTGACACCTGCAGCATAACTTTATTTTACCAGTAAATCTATGCACAGAAATCCTAGCATTCATCACTTTAGAATCTGAGCACCTTATAATTAGTAATGGCGCAATATTCCTGTAAGTGATGTAGGCTGTTTTGTACTATATCCTATTTTCAAATGCGGAAAATGACGTACCAAGAAAAATGAAAGATGTACATATGATTACACAGAAAGTTGACCACTGATACAGAGACAGAACCCATGTCATCTGAGTACCAGTCCAGTGCCTTAGTGATAATACTGTTGGTGATTGGTGCTATACAAATGCCTATGATTGAAAAAGTAATTCTAAAATATAAAAGGATGTCACTTATTCCGGAGGAAAGTAAGTTCTCTTCTTTCCCCAACCCTTATCTAATATAATATGTGTGTTTCTAAAAATCCTGGCACTCGTAACAACTCTTCCATTGAAGTTGATGATAAAAATTCCTACTAACTGAAGAAATAGGCTCAGGGCCATAAAACATTAGCAGTGGAAATTTAGCACAGAGACAGATCCTTATCCCTAAAATACATGTTGAGTTTGTATCACAGAAAAAATATTTACAAGCAGATTTCTGTTTGCACTCCTAGAACAAAACTGTTCCTCAGCTTGATATTTCTGAAAATTCATCCACTGGGGAAAAGTCTTTCTCTACTGTAACAAACTTTAAAGTGTCTTTGTAAATGAAATAAGCTACAAAGGAGATTACTGAACCTCTGCTGTTGAAAGCCATTACCTTGAAAAATCAGCCCACCGGTGACTGACTGACAGGACAGACATTACAGTTTAACAGACTGAACCTAGTGATGACCAGTTAGCTCAAATATTGTGAGTGGTGTGTTTCAGTTAACTAGGTAGGCAAACTGCTTTAGAAGTACCTTACCGCATTGCACAGATTACTAAAATTTCAGCCATTGAGTACTGGCTTGATTGTTTTCAATTCAGATGTTCATGTTATTAAAAGTCAAAACTGCTTTTTACCCTGTCTGCCTTTAATGTACTGAGCTGAGCAAAATGGGTGCAGTTTAAAGCACAATTCTACTCAGAAAAGCACCTGGGGAGGGACAGGAGGGCGCTAATCATCTCTCACTGCATTAAACATATAAAAATAATAAGATACATTTTTCTAACTGCTGGGCCCTGCAAACTCAGTCTCGTTCTGTGGAATAAAATAGGAACTTCTCTAGGTTAACAATAACAACAAGTGCTCACTGATACCTATGAATCAAGGGGTAACTGAACAAATAGGTAATAAATAATTTTAACTTCAAAAAAACATAAAATAGAATCTGCAGTTTTTCCAGTTTAGTCTGTCTCAAAAAACTTTAATAACAGGAAAAAGTAAAGCTTTCAAACATGACCCCTGATACAGAGAGAATGACAGACCTTTGAGGGAGAAGATACCAATCTTAGGTTTCTTTTATGTAATATAACATGCTTTGTAAGGCTGGGGATACCAGTAGACAAATGTAAGCAAATTCAAAATTAAAATGTGAATGTCTCTCCTCACTTTAATTTACCCAGTTGTTTTATTAAATGAGATGACTGATACTTTTGTTTGAAACGTACAACTACTATTCAAGTTTAGAGGAAGAACAGGCCTATTAGGACAGAGGTGGTAATGTTGGGAATTCTCTTGGTTTTGTTGTTCTGTTATGCAAACTAAGGTTTTTAGGCTGTGAATTTTATACAAATTATTAATAGTGAAATATAGTGTTTCTGTTGGTAGTTTTCCTGTATTTGATACAACTTTGGAATTGTATCATTCTTGCAAGTAAATTGCTAGAATGCAGGTGGAGTTCAGGTGGAGAAAGGAACTGCTGTATAAAGATCATGAATCACCACATCAGGCTTGTCAATGTCAGGATATCTGGAAGGGGTTTCCATTCCAGTGCATTTTCACTAAACTGCCAGTTTTGTTTTGGCAATATCAAGAAAGCTGCCATAAAAAGACCATATGGAGGGGTAGGGTGACAAAAACAGATACACGCCTATTGAAGACTTCCAAGTATTGTTGAAAGGTATTTTAAACTTCTATTAACCTACAACCATAGGAGGCAAAATGTCTTTGCTGAAGTGTGTGTATGATGATTCATATATATCTCTCAGTATTTTTAACCTCCCTTGTCTGTTTGCTTGAAGGCACGATATCCAAAATGAAGTCTAAGTAACACATTTTATGAAAGTTTTGGTGCTAATCTTGAGTTCTGTTTCCCACAGGGCAAAGCTGTGCTGGGCTACAAAGTTTCATCTATATAAGAGAGTCTGGAAGCCCAGTGCTGCCAAATCGATGGCTGTTGTTAACCTATTTGTGATTTAAAACTGGGGAGCCTACTGTGGCCCAGAAACTGCTCTTATAATTTATATGGTTGATAAGAGAGACTAGAGCAGCTGTTAAAAAAGTTATAAGACAACCAAGTTGAAAGTTCAAAGGAACTAGGGAAAGTCAGATGAACAGACTGCTAAATTCTTCACCTTGGACGTTAAAAAATATATATTTATAGGGGAAGTTCTTCATTCCCCAGGTAAGTGACCTGATTTGGATCCTTACACAAATTTTCAAAGTCAGAGAATGTATTTATCTAAAAGGCCAGGACATCCCCAACTGAGGAACCAATGAAAAATACACCTACTACCTACATTATAGAAGAAACTCGGGGATATTTAAGTGAAGTGTAAGCTTAATGTGTCCAGTTATCCATATGCAAATCAAGTGGAACTTGCTTTGAAACAAGAAAATGTTTCCACTATAGGCTCATCTTAAGCACATTGTAAGGCTATGCGCTTAAACAATCCACAGTATATAAATACAGTTCCAACATCTAAGCTGATGTTTGAAGGAGACTTTAGAATGGCATTTTGTCTGTAACATGGTAACTATCTTATTTTTTTCTCATTCTTAAAAACATTCTTGTTTTGTCTCTGAGTACTTCTCAGTTACCTAGCGAAGTGTTAGCATGTTCAGCATCTAGAATTAACAGTTACCCATAATTTTTAAAAAGTGCTTAATCTTGAGGTTCTGCTTAAAAAGGAAGAACTCTTCAACCGAACCTCATTAGCCTGACTTGCTGCTGCTGTATTATCCTACTTTCTTATCTCTAGTTGAATGTATCGGCAGATTTGTAAAGGGCTAACAATTATGACATACAAATTTATGCTAGAAGAGTTTGTAGGGGGCAAGCAGCAAAGAGGTAAATAGCATACAGGGAATTCCAAGGTAGATCTATGTTTTGAAAACATGGATCTAAAGCAACATTTTTGTAGGAGGTCAGCTCTTCTGTTTGAGATTTCTCGTTTGTTCTAGGAAGAAACCAAATGAGGTCTGGTGATTTCATCAGGTGTCTCCTACATTCAGCACTTCTTTGGGTAGGAAATCTGGAAGCAGAGATGTTAAGTAATTTGCTCCAAAATCAAGCAGCTAACTTTAATAGTTGAAAGGAATTAACACTTGAGCATTTTATACTTGGTTTATTCTTTATTCCTCTAGAGTTGTTGCCAACCTCTACGTAGGTAAGCTTCATTTCTGTAAAAAGAAAACTGGCAGTGTTCCACATTTCTCTAGGTTTGGCTCTTCCTCATCCACATCTCCTTTCCGGGCTGCCTCTGCTGCTTCTTCAAAGCATGCTGCAGAGACATCTAGGCTGGCCTTCATAAAATATTTGTTGGGCTCAGACCTTTATGTGTAATATGCTCACTGCCTCATCAAAATGTCATTAGTTGGAAATTGTGACTCAAGAATATTTTACACATAACATGTGATCAAGTAATTATGCATTTAGGGAGAAATCTGTTGTGATCATTTTCTGGATAATAAAATCTTTCAGGGACATTCAGGTAAATTATAAGTGCTTTTATTATATGCAGTGGTGAACATTTTGCTAAAACCCTGAAAAACACTAATGCATGTGGGGGAAAACAGTTAAGCCCAAGAGGACCACCAACATTGTTTCCATTCAGAGTTGTAAAAGTTTAGTTTGCAAAATCAATTTCTGGTACACTTAGTGTTTCATCACCGTTTAAATGATACTTTGAAACTGTTGTTTTTTATTTGACTTTGCCTCTTGCTCATTGACCTGGGGTGGGAAAAGCTTGGATATTGCACTTTTTCTGCAAAGGGCCATCCATCCAGCTGATGTCTGGCTCTGGTGCAGTCCCTAGTTTTCTTCTGTAGGAAAGCTGAAAGTAAATGCTTTGAGTATTGTTCATTCTTTATATATTTAAAAAACAGTGAAAATTAATTTTCTGTTACTGCAATCCAAATAAAGAGATGCAAATATATAAAGGCAACAGAACTTCTTTTAGTTTTGAGATTAAGACACTGCAATCGCTAGTAGCGTTATTTTCTAAAAGTACTAAGTCCCTCAGTGGCAGCTGGTGCTGGGGACCATTTAATTTTTCTGCTCAACTAGGCAGTAAGTTTTGTAGCATGATTATCATTGGCAGTCCTACAAATGATGACAGTCCCAACATCTTTCACTGGATGAAATTTCTACCTGCTCTGAAAGTGCTTTACTGAAGATAACACATACTATTTTGAGACATAAGCTCTAGACACAATGAAATTGTCTAGACTGACTGATCCAAATACCCTACCTAGGAGATGCACAAGAACTTTCAATCTCGGGAAAGAAGCCTCTCCTACCTATATAAAGAGGTCTGTTGTGGAAGGCATATTTACTTAAGCCTTCCATAAAGAATGAGGATCTCCTCCTAGGCCTATAGATCGCATGTAGATAATCAATGTACACTGTTCATGCTAACACAAAAGAAGCTGTCAATAGCCTTTATGATGTGTAATGACAGTGATGTAGCCTTGATTGATTGATGCATCTTCTGACCCTCCTCCTAAACCGAATCTAAACTGTTGTTTTCTCATACACATTCACAGCACGAATTAGGCTGTAAGCTCTTTAGTGCTGGAGCCACACCTCTATTGCACAGACTTCAGTGCTGTAATTGCAGAGCCAAAGACATTTTTTTTCTCTACATACACTACTGCCATTAACCTGATTTTAGTGGAAATTCACAGTAATGCCATTAGAACCCGAAACCTCACTCTATCACACACACTATTCTGAGAACGAGATGAAACAAAACATTTGGTAGATCTTAATCACAGCTCATAAAGTGACACTGGAATAATGTGACGCTCAAATATTACATGGATGACAATGGGATCAGAATCTATAAGACAGACCAATGTAGCACTGTGGGAGCAATTAGGGACGTTAGATTTCTGCTCTAGGTTGCACATTATTAACATACTCATTAATGCTGCTCTGACATAACAGCTAGTTCTGCCTCCTATAGACAATAAGGGTGCACAAGAGTAATATAGAGCAGCATGTGGGTTATAAGATTTACCGGACGTAGTCTTTGTAACTTTTCAAACGCCTTGACCAGTTAGAAGCTGGCTGTCCCTCTTCACTGCCCTCTTTCTTCTAGACTTGGCAAGAAATTTTTGACAGTCTTCACTCAGCTATACCATGAAAGCATGACTCCTATCCTCAACATCCTCAACACTTCCACTAATCTATCTTCTACTTTAAATACACATAAACTGGGAATGGGAACAGGGTCCACAATTTCAATTTGTTCTTTGATTTCCTTGTCTGTTTAGACGGAGGAAACCTCCCACAATTCTGTTCCTAGGATGAACATTTTATTATTACTGCTCCAGATCTGTTTATCTCACTGAGAAAAGAATCCGAGCACTTCCTGTCCCCCTTCTCTGCCAATCTCCTATTTTTGCATATGTGTTTTTAGATTGCAGTGAATTTTTAACACTGTTATTTCCAAGACTTGTACAATAGTTTGTAATTATGTATGTGGTACAATGTTGTACACTGCTAGTGCTACTCTATGGCTAGAAAACCTATACTGTACCCAGGTATGTCTATTTCTACTTGTTCAATGTATGTTCACAAAAACACGTTAGATACTTATTTTTGAAACTGAAAAAGTGCTCCGATAGTTATTTTCTATCATTTTGTCTAATATGTGAGTACGTAAGTATACGATGTTAACTTTGACATCTGTCAGTACCTACAGAAATACACAGAATATGCTTAGGGATTAGGGAACAGAGCTCCAAGCAGTCACCAGCACTATTCTCTGCAAGAACTGGTCTCAGTTTTATGGTTTTCACATACAGTTTCATTGGATTTTCTCCAAGGAAATTTAAAATCTTCTGAACATTGTTAGACAGAGTAATATGATAGTTACCCTGAAATCACCTTCAGAGAACTTGTCCTGCATCTTGTAACACTGCACACCATTCTGAATCACAAGCAAAAAGGAGCTGATGAAACACAGCGGGGGATACAGATGCTTCTTACTCAACCCCCAGAAAATATTTTTTCTTTCTTGGCCTGGGATAGGTTACGTTCAGGACCGGTATTTTCTATGCCTGTGAACAAAGTACTCCTTATGGCTCTGGAAAGTCACATCTGAACCAAAGATATCAATAAATTTGGCTAAAATATTCAAATTCAGCATGTATGGCAAATCATGCTCCCTTTCAGTATTTGCTTTTTGTCTTTTTTAATAGTACAGATTCATCGTGCTGCTCTAACCAGCTTGACTAATCTGTTCAGCAGAGATGCTTGTCATAGTATGCAAGATAAGCTAACATTTGCTAAAGCACGGGTAACCTCACTTCAGCGTATGTCTTTTGAGAACATATCTAGTGTTGGATCCATGGATAATTTCACTCAAGATGCCAGGTATCCTTCATTTCCTCCTTGCACCACTCCGGAAAACTTAGGAGTTCTGACTTGTTAATCACACTGTCCGAATATGCTATTATTTTCTCACGTCTATGAGGTGGAAATTACCTGCTAACTAAATGGACAAAAGCCAAAGTTTTTTCTCAAGGGTATTTCCATTAGCTTCCAGCCTCACCCTGTTACTTTACTCCCAGTTTCTTCCTCATAAAAATTGTGTTTCCATAAGCATTGCAATGTTACCTTGCTGTCTTCCTGACTGCAGACAATCAAGCAATCTTCCAGCACAGGTAGAGAATGTGTCCGCTGTGCCTCCTTACTTCCATCCATGCCTTTTTTCCTGAAAAAAGTCTCTTTTCCATCCTGTTTACAGGGCAAAAGGAACATTATCCTGGTCTCACAAAAAACACTCTTGGAGAAACTTTTCAGAAAGTGTCACTTCACCACTGTAGGGCAGTGCATGACAGCACAACTCCTGCTGCACCACAATTCAGGTGGCAGTAATACTGAAATTTCCTACTGTAGCTTCAAGTGCAATAAACCCTTTAACTAGTACAGCGACCACACTTAAACAAGGGTTGCATTTCTTGAAGATCCTACAAGAATTTACTTATGAATGGGTATTTTTTTTTTTTTTTGCTCTTCCCAAGAATTGGTGGACTGCTGCGAAAATAATGTAATTTCTATTATTTTTAATTAGAACTTGAACAAGAATAAAACCCTTTTAAATAATTAATCAGGAAAGACCTCGGCTGCCCTCCAAATCCCAGAACGCAGCCTCATCCTCCTCTTTCTCGCGTTTAAGCTCTTATACAATTTAAGAACGGGAGTCAATCCGAACAGAAACAAAGGGACGCCGTGCGTTCCTCTCGCAACGCTCTCAGTTTGAGCCATACCCATCTGCGTGCCCAAGGTCAGATCGTACCACCACTTTCCGTTTTGGACTTACCCCTGTCCATCCCGCAGCAGCTCAGGGATTAACTCCCTGGGCAGCCCCCGAGGAGGGGGGTCCCAGGTCCCAACGTTAGGACAACCTGCACTAAGCGGTGAGAGCTGCGGGGTCTAACGGCAGGGAGAGGGGGAGCAAACCGTGCCTTCTGCCGACCCTGCCACGGACTGGGCGGTTACAGAAGGCCCTAAGAGCCTCAGACGAAAAGGGAACTTGGCTCTCGCGTCGCAGATCTCCTCTCTGCTGCCTGGAAATGAAACCGTTAACAGCTGTAAAGCCAGTAATGCTATTTATAGGCACTACCACTGGTTTGTTGGTTTTTTTTTTTCCGTTGTTTTTAGATCAAAGATTTCAGAGCTTTGTCTTAGGCTTAAAAGTAACAAAAAAGTTTTGTTTACAACCAGAAAGGCCAAAAAATGTAATTTAACGTTATTCTCTGGAAAGTTCTGGGCACATACGGGCGCTGGGCCACCTTGTCCCTTCC